AAGAAAAGTAGAGTGTTTAGAAAATAGTAGATATTTATAATTAATCAATTCAGATTCATAGATAGAATAAAGAAAGTTAGATGGATTTAACCTATAGGCTTTCTCCAATCTTCTAACACTTTTCTTGGCTACTACACAAGCATAATCAAACCAAGGAGCCTTACGAGAATAGAGCCTATAAGTAAAAGATGTAAAATGGTAAAAAAATTTTATGATAGCATAAAATGGTAACGAAGATTAAAAAAGATAAAATAAAAAAATAAATTAAATAAGATGAAATAAAAGAATATAGACTCTACGTATTTATATCTCTATTATTATATAATTGCATGATATTATTAATATAGCACATGTGTCTTACTTTATTTTTATATTTATAAATATATAATATATATATATATAACCCCCGACGTAAATATATATTTATATTTGCATATTGTGGCATATTGTGGCATATTGAACCATGTTGTCGGGGGTACGTTGAACCATGGTTCAACCTGCCTCTGACATCAATGCAACACGATATGTGATGATTGTACTTATTCTACTTCAAAATTATTCTGTTTTTTTGGTTTTATTTTTATGGCAATTGTATTTTTAAAAGTTTGAAGGGCATTAACGATAACGTCAACAACTGAAACATTGTTTTTTAAACAAGATTTATCACTAACTCAATATGGTCAGATCTCAACAGCGAACTACAAACAGAGGTAGCACTTCTTCAGATATGATGCTAGTTGCTGTGAAAGAAGTATTAGATGGTAAAACGAGTCTCCGTGCTATTAGCCGCAAACATAACATTGACCACGCGACGTTGATAAGATATTGCAAAAAATACAATAATGCACTGAATTCTGCATTGTCAACATTTAGAGTTGGTTATAGTCAGTTAAGAAAGGTGTTTACTGATGACGAAGAATGCTTATTAGAGAAATATATTAAGAAAGCTGCCGCGTTGTACTATGGTTTGAATCCAAGAGAAGTCCGCATATTGGCATATCAATTTGCAACCACAAATGACAAGGTCGTTTCAAGAAATTGGAAAATAGATGAAAAAGCTGGGGCTGATTGGTTTAGTGCATTTATAAAAAGACACCCACACCTCTCAATCAGAGTACCTGAATCGACATGTAGAGACCAGCAGAAATCTAACGTCACGCCGGAAATGATCAGGCCATTCAAAAAAACTGGACCGCGAAAGACAAGTACAGGAAATCGAAAAAAAGGCAAAACTCAGATTTTGACAGATACACCAGTGAAAGCAGAGCTGGAAGCTTGTCAACAAGCTCGTGAATCAAAAACCATCAATAAAAAGAGAAAGAAGATTTTATTTGACCGTAATCAGCAGATTTCAAGAAAGACGAATAAAGTGTCGGAAAAGCAAAAGAAAAGTAAGAATAACATTCCTATAATCACGAGTGACGACAACACACCTTGTCATCTCTGTGGCATACTGGCCAATGTACCTCCATTTGAAAATTTAAAGGAATGTCCGTCCTGTAAAGAATGGTTTCATGAACGCTGTTGCCTAGAGGACTCTAATTTGTGTTAGGCTCATGTCTTGGCTAATTGTAGTTTTGTGTCCTTGTCATTATTCAAAAAATCAATTTGATTTAAGTAGCATATTTACATATTTTAAAAATATTTACAGATTTGAAAATATTTCACTGAAAACAATAAAATTTATTATCAAAATGTGTTAAACAATATTGGTTCAACGTACCCCGGCGTTTTGTTCAACTTACCCCGCTAACGGGGTAAGTTGAACCACACGACAGGCTTACTAATAAATCTTTTTAATGTCATAGATACTTGTTAGAAGTCAATAGAATTTTTGCTATGCGTAAAGGACATAATTTTACATAATAATAACCTACATCAAAAAGTTTTAATGCATTAATATATGTCCGACAAGTTAAATTATGAAAATTGGTTCAATGTGCCCCGGTCTCCCCTACATGTTTTATTCCATTAGTTAATTTTATTTTGTCTATTGATTACAAACACTGTCATGCAATGTTTCTGCTGGTTTTTTAATTACATATGAATTTGATAGTAAAGTTTGCATTGTATTTCCATTATTTAAGACTATTATAAACACTCTCATGAAATATCTCTGTTAATTTTTCAATTACAAATGAATTTGATAGTAAAATTTGTTATCCTACTTTTTTGAAAGTAATAATAACAATAACCAAAAAAGTATTTGTTATTCAATGTATTGTTTAGGATAATATATATGTGGGATGAAAGTCATGCATGATATGAAAGACTGGATGAGTGGATTAGATGTTTAAATTCTAAAACTCAAATTAAAGTAATGAATAGATAAATATTGCAAAAAGACAAACTAATTGTTCTTGGAGAGAGCAGTCAAATTGGCAGACAATTTTTAAACAGTTGTTAAAAATGTAGAATATGTTGATGTTGTAATCGTTGCTCGTTGGCACTCGTGACGATGTGGATGATGCTAGTGTTTATGCAAGTTAGAGACGATCTATGGCCTTTGGCCACCATGTACTTTTTCCCTTTTTTTTGTCAAAGTCGAAGTGTTTTGGTTATCGTTCTTCTAAGTTTTGAGCGATGTGCATGTGAGTTTGCAGTCTAATAATACTTCAATTGCAATTCACCACACTGTTGGTTAACCGTTAATTAATTAAACGTATTGATATCCGTAGTGGCGTATCAGAAAATCAATAAACAAACCCATATTATCTTATATTTTTACTTAAATATTTTTTGAAAATGATTACTGTTTAAAAATGACTATTGTTTATAATTTTAACTATATACACTGCATCCAAACTGCTTTCAAACGAGCACAATGCTTTGATCAAATATTATCGAATCAGAAGATACATCGTTTTTTAATTCTTTCCTTGAGCATCCAACTTCCATCAATGCTGTTTTATATGCAATAGCCCAAGCCCATATATAATTTTGCATATGATCCAAACCGCCATTTTACCGCAACCAGGCTTTTCAATCATTTTTAGCCAACCTGGCTTAAAGGTTGACTCGGTAGTGTTTGTGTCTTTTTAATTGTATTTTGTTATTGTTTAAGAGCTCTCTGCACCAATTTTTAAAAATGCGTGACGTCAATGCTGGTCTCGCTTTTAGTAGAGTTTATAGTGTAAAGTGTACGGTTGGGCAATACCTTGTCATTATGGTAAAGGTCAATTACACTCTTCCAAAGTTCAAAGGATTCAACAGAGCCCACAAACATCGTAAATGAATACGTGCTAAACGACGCATCACACACGAAGCATATGATAGGCGAGGATCTTTTTGTCACATTCGAACCCGCGAAACAGCACCAGGCGACCTTAAACAATAGACCATCACGCCGCCCAATGCCAGGGGAAGATCTGTCAAGCATAACGATCTCAAATCAGCGTGGCTATATGACACCAGAAAAATTTCGCAAATGCAGAAAATAAATTAGTTTAAAAATAATCAAAATGAATAAAAAATTAAAAAATAATATTCATTAAAAAACTATAAAATGTAAAAAATTGTAGCATTTGATGAATAAGTGTTCATGGAAAATAAAAAATGACATCAGAACCCATTGAATTATATAATTGCATGTCAGAACCTAAGTATATAAGGTATTATATATATCCATTTATACATCCATGGTAATGCTAGTATAAAATACCAGGTGTGTCTTTTGCTAAAATCTTTTTGTTTCGTGTTTGAGCAACTCTTCGTCAGGGGCAACTGCTTCAAATTAAATTGTTGTTTTCGCCACGTATACAGTTGTTGGTTCTTTTTGTATTAAAAATTAAATAAAATTTGTCAATTTTGCATTTATTTGGTTTAGTGTTTTGTTCCACTATTTATTGAATTTTTTAAATTAAAAATTTCAGAAAACATGTCGCGTTTTCATCCGTTTCTATCAGAAGATAAAAAGGTGGAGTTGAAAGCGGTGGCTGAAAGCATAGTCGTTAACGGCAAAGGAATTCTTGCTGCTGACGAAAGCACGGGTAAGAAATTACTTACTGTGTGATATTAGTAGTAGTCTTCGACAACAAAGCATGGCGAACTCGTTACTTTCTTATTAAAATTAATTTTTTGTTTGTTTTGTGTCTTCTGTCTCACCCAATTGTTTGTTTGAACTTAATGAATTAAATGAAAAAATGTCAGGACCCGCAAATAGATGACATTGAGGCCGCCCCATTCCTTCCTTGTTTGGTTGGCACTTCCTTTTGAGTGTGTCTTCAAAAACAAATATTTGTGAAGTGTCAGTTCATCAAATGAAAATGTATATTTAATAAGATAAAGTAATCGAATTATCAATTTAAAAAAGTTATATATTAAATGCAAATTGGAATTATTGCATGGGCATTACCTCCCATTGATATTTGTAAGTCACATTTTTGTCTGAAAGTGGGAGAATAATTTAATAATAATGTATTATAATTATGTATAATAAATTTTAATAGTTTAAAAAACCAGGGAACTTTTATTAAAATACAATTTTGATATTAAAAATTTTAGTTATTGACTGCAAGTGTTGTTTTAGATTATTTTATATGATACATAAGCATGTATTGTATGATTATATATTCATTATGATTATAACATGCCTAAAAAGCTCATAACTGTACATACAAAAAAGTGATTCATGAATATTAATGTCATAGGCTTAGGAGATAGTGAAGATTTCTAACCTATACTTATATATTCTATATTTATATTAAAGATTTTATATTATTTGTTAAAGAGCTTTATGTGAATAGAATTATATAATTTCATTATAAAACTTTACAGGAAATTAAAGGACTTTTGGTTTTAAATTTGTGGCAGATTAAGATAAAATTCTGAAACTAAAGTTTAATGTTAAAATTAAAAAAACTACTAAACAACTTTACAATAATAAGTGGGTGACTCTAAAAAGAGGATAATGAAAATAACAAAATCAATATTTAAAAAAAATGTTATGGACTCTCTTAAACCTACAAAGCAAGGTGAATGGTTGACTTTAGAGGGGACCAGACTAGTTATTTTTTCTTCAAATCAGCAAACTTTTTTATAGAAAAAGGTGTATTAGTAATAAATATTGTTTAAAAGTTTGCAAAACAATCAAAATTCATGGAGATACAGGATAAGAAAATTTTAAATATTTAAATAATTTTGGATCAATGAACATCAACAAAAAATCTAAAACTAGCATGAATATAGTTGAAATGAGAAAAAAATATTTTAAACAAAAAAAACCAAATTCTCACCAATACAGCGTTTATACATGCCATCAATCACACACGTGTTGTCAATTGTATGTGGGCTGCACAGAGACAAAATCGGTGTCTTAAGTGTTAGATTCAAATGCCACAACTCAAACCCTAACACAACATTTTTTGTATCTTTTTAATAAGAGTTTTGTTTTAAAAATAAAGTTGAAAATAAATTGGTTGTGATTGTCGAAAATTTGTAGAAACCTCTATGTCTACAAAACTTTCAGACAGAGTGTGTCTTTAACTTGCCCACCAGTCTATGCACAGCACACACATGCACTTGTAAACTAGGTAATATAAATAAAATTAATTTTTTAAATTGTTAATAGATCATCAAATACATTATTCATTCATTCATTTCATTTGGTTTCAATTTACATTATACTTGAATAAATAAACAAATAAATGTAAATATATTCAAAACAACACTTTTTTAAAAAAATTTATAAAAACCTGCATATTTCATGACAATGAGTTTCAGGTGCAAGTGATAAATAATTGAAATGTCAAACAAAACCACTTGATGCTTATTCTTATTGAAACTTTTGAATTGCTATAATTCAACATTGGCCTCTTCTTATACTTATATTCAATCATGAAAATATTGTAAGTAGTTTAGCAGCTAAATTTTTTGAATGAACTTAGTCAAGGAAATATTAGTAATCATAAAGTACAAACACAATACTGCTCACTAAAATACAAATTCTCTTTCCCCATTAAATGCTAGAAATTTAAATGTAATAAAATGTCAAAAATCAATGTATTTATGATGGGAAAAGAAAATTTTATGCAATATTCATGGGCTGAACTGGCTGGTTACATGCAATTAATGATTTGTTTTATAGAATGTTGCACTGCAATATTCAACTTAATTTCTTACTCAGTTCATTGCCATCCAAGCGTCATTACATTTTGAAATAGACCTTATAATCAACATAGTCATTGTCCAGTAGAAACATTTTATATTCCCAACTCATTTTATCACTGATCAAAAACTGCCATCACTCCAGATTTCTTCCATTTTTAAAATCCCAAATCTATTGAAACAATTTAATACTTTATTTTTTTTTATTATAAATACAACCCTTTCAGAATCAACAATTGCTGAACTGAACTACCACATTTTGCCATTCAAACTAAACCCAACCTGATAAAATTGAATAAAATGCGTATTTTATATAAAAAATCTTTTTGCTTTTTGCTTATATCTAATTCACATAAAAGCGGTTTAAAATGCAAGAAATATTAAAAACTTTTGAGTATATTATGAAAAAATGTTTATTGCTTATGTAGATGTAATTTTAGAAGTTTATAAAAGGAAAAGTGTTTGCTTTTTAATGTAATAGATTATTCAGTTTTGTTAATATAATTTGCATGGATTTTTTTCAAACTTTTTAAAAAATTTATTCTTAGGCACTATTGGTAAAAGATTTGACAAGATAAATCTTGAAAACACAGAAGAAAATAGAAGGCAATACAGGAAGTTATTATTTTCTACTGACGCATCATTTGCTGAGCACATTAGTGGGGTTATCCTATTTCATGAAACGTTTTACCAAAAAAATGATGATGGCACTCCATTAATTAAGTTACTTCAGGACAAAGGAATCATTCCTGGCATTAAAGTTGACAAAGGTACTGTTATCTTGGCGGGCACAGATGAAGAAACAACGACTCAAGGTTTAAAAAATACTTTTTCTGTTTGATTTGATTTTATTTAAGATTCAAACTTTGATATTGGCCTTACCGATGTCAAGTGCAATGAATAATTTTTTTTTTTGTCACAGTATTCAAACATTACACATTTCTCTTTACTAATCATATTTGTAAATGCAGGTGAGATTGTTTGCCCAAAAATGAATGTCTAGGAAGAACTGTGAAACAGTAGGCAGCTGGCGTTTATAATATTATCATAGTTTTATACAAGATTATGTAAAAGGCAAGATAATTTTGTAAAGTAAGGAATATAAGAGTAGAAGGAAAATAAAAAACCAAACCCAACCAGATAAAATCGAATAAAAAGCATATTTTATATAAAATATCTTTTTGCTTATATCAAATTGCAAGGAATATTAAAAAATAATTATATGCATGTCTACTCAAATAAAGAGTTATGAAAATGAAAATAGGTGATAAGATAAAAAATTTTGTTGCCAATGTGTACCACCTAATTTTGCATTTTGAAAGGGTTTACAATGTGTTACTTGTGTTGGCTGACGTCATTACATTGAATAAATGACAAATTTTTTGTAAAAACTCACAGTTTTTGTTTAATCTTATAATAAAAATTATTAATTTGGTATGTTTTTCACAACAACAAAATTTGATATGAGCATCTTTATTACAGCTTAAATTGTTCATCTGGGACCTCTGCATGATTGCAAACCAGATCACAATATGCTGTGAAGTTGCCTAGTGCTTGTTTTGCAGTGCTTGCAGTGACTGGGTTTGATTATAAGAAAAAGATATCACATGCTTCGTATGTGATGCATTGTTTAACATATGCAACATATACGTTGTTTTTGTGTTGTTGGTCCTCTGAACTTAGGAAGACTGTAATAGACCTTTAACTTTTTTGCCTATTCAATAACGAACATTTCTTTGTTGGTTTAGTGGAAACTGAGGTTCCAAAGTTGTTAGCAAGATGTTGTACTAAGACATCAAAAAAAGATATGTTGTGTGTTTGAGCCTATTACTGCATCCTTTGACTTGTTTTTGCATTTAACCACATTTTTATAATAGGATTAGATGGCTTGGGTGAAAGATGTGCCCAATACTACAAGGATGGAGCCAGGTTTGCTAAATGGAGATGTGTTTTGAAAATATCTGAATATACTCCATCCTACCTGGCGCTCATTGAAAATGCCAACGTGTTAGCAAGATATGCTAGCATATGCCAGCAAGTTTGTTTTTCAGCTTATTACACTGAGTTTTTGTTATTTCATTTTAATCTGAAACATAATATAAAAGTGGCACTTCAAGTCCACAAAATGTAGAAGCCAGTCATATTGTGACTGAATGTTTGTTTGTCATGGCAAAATTCGTGATAAAGATGAAACATTTGAAAGATGCAGTGTGGTTATTTTGATACATTTTTAAAAAATGTTCAACTGATAACAAAATGATTATAGTAGCTAGTGCAAATGTGATCTAAAAATTTATAGAAAAACTGGAGTTATAACAAAATTTCTTACATATATTTCAAGTTCTAATCCAACTTCAGTTATGTATGAAGGAATGAATTTTATTTAGTGTATATTGGAGTAACTAAATTTGTTTGTTTTAACAGTTTGATTTTATTAAGTTTTGTTCTTTTTATTTTAAATTCCAATTAAAAATTTAATTTGTTGAATATTTATTGAATTAAATGTAGTTAGCAAATGCTAAATTTAATTTTACGAAAGATGAAAATTTAAAGTTTTCCTTATTGATTTTTCTTAATTTTAACTAAATAAAATAAAAAATAAAAAATCGCAATAAATTGGGGAAAATGTTAAAAAGTGAAATAAATCTATCTTCAAAATTTCGTAATTAAAATTTCGCCAATCGGTACCATAAATTCCATAAATTTGTCATTTAGATAATGTTTAGTAGATTTTTTTAAATAAAATTTGCAAAACGATAATGCAGGTTTCAATTTTTTGAAATATTTGGCTCTGATTAAAAAATATGCTCTTAAATTAAAATAATGCAAATGTAGTCTGAAAAATACGAAATCAATTTTCAATAATATGAACTTTTATTTTTTTTATTTATAAAATGGAAATTGTTTTACACTTTATAATTAACATTATACTAGAGGTTTGAAGTTTCAATGATGATTAAGGTTTGCCGTTTGTTATTGGATTTTAATGACAAAAAAAAATCAATCGTTAATTTAGAATGGATTGGTACCAATCGTTGAACCTGAAGTACTCCCTGATGGTGACCATGACCTTGAAACTTGCCAGAGAGTGACTGAACAGGTGCTCTTTCGTTCATTTTTTAACATTTTAGGCATTTGGCTAGTTGACACTTTAAATACATTTTTATAAATTTGAATCTGCCTGATTAAGAAATTTGTTTAAAAAAAGCAACTACTTGCCTATCATGATGAGCGTTGATAAATGGAATCCACTCGTTAAAAGCTTTATTTTTGTTCAAGGCAAAAATGTTTTTCTCTATTGCTTTTGCTGACTTTTAAGTTAAGATTTAAAGGAAAATAACAAATTTAACAAGTTTATTTCAGTTTATTAGAAAATTCTAAAAAGTGATACAGATAAAAAAAAGAAAGTTATCAATAAAAAATTTAATAACAATTAATTTTTTTTTTTTGTTTAAAAAAAACTTTTTATTTAAATTTATCTCTTAAAATTGTTAATAAACTTTGCAGAGTTTGCATTTAGAAAACTACTCATGCTTGGATCATTGCTGAAAATTTGTTAAAATAGAATTTGGTTGATAAAATTAGGGCAAAGTTATTTTTGATAGAAATTGGCAAATTTGTTATCAATTAATAAATGATCCTCTTTAATCTTTTAATGAACGTTGGGGAGACGTCGTCCATCTTTTTTTAGCATGATTTATTAGAAGCATGAAGTTACAAGGGATTTCAGGCAGATGTGGAGTCAGAGTTGAATAAACACGTTGAAGTGTTAAATAAATTATTCATGAATTATATTTGTGTTAAGGTCTTATATTGATATTTATAAGGTAAACCTGTCAAGGTGACGTGTACAAAGAGAATGAATGCCCAATTATCAAAAAAATATAGATACTCAATTCAGACATTAGTAGATGCTTTGTTGATGCAAGGTATAAAGTTGTGTTGAAAAATGTTGTTACAAGAAAAGTTTTTGCCGATATAAAACGCTAATGATAAAGTTCTGATTTATGTTTAAATTATTTAGAGTATTTTAATCATGCAGGTGTTATCCTTTGTCTACAAAGCTTTGGCTGACCACCACGTTTATCTGGAAGGTACTCTTCTCAAGCCAAACATGGTTACTGCTGGTCAGAACTCCAAACGATTGTTTTCACCAGAACAGGTTGGTCATGCAACCACTGAAGCTCTAAGGAGGACCGTTCCTGCTGCTGTTCCCGGTTTATTATTTTACATATTTAGCTTTTAGTTTCAGTTTTTTTCTAATTTCCATAGTTGCTATCCCATTTTTGTGAAACATTTGTGGATTTTATTTAAAAAAGTATTTATTTTTATTATTATTATTATTATTATTACTATTATTGTAATTATTGAAGTTTTCTATGCCATTATACGATTTTTTTTTAGTTTTTTTAAAATTATTCAAACACTGCCAATGCTATTATATTTTTATAGCTTTATGTGCCAGTTTTTATGGTTTTTGAATGTTATTACAGCTGTATGCAATTCTTTGTCTGGTTAATTTTGAAAAGTGTGAATCTCTGTGCGTTTTTATATTATCTTGAAATTAACAATTTACTATTTATATCCAATCATTAGCATAATAATACTAATAGAAAACTTCCTGAAAGCAACTTCCTGAATTCTTTTTGTTTGTTTGTTTATTTATTTATTTTTTTGTACTTTTTTAATAGTTTTACAGATATTTATTACTTAATTGCCATAATTGTTATTATCTAATTTTAACAAAAATTTAAATCATTAATTCCATTTTTAATGTTTTTAAATAAAAAATAATAATTATTATCATAATGGGATAATAATTAATGGTTAATAATATTCATCTTTATTTTTATAATGTGAATGGAAGCAGTTTTCAGACGCCATGGACGTATGATCCATTAGACAATTCTTTACACTTATAATAAAATCAGCAACCAAATTTTCATATTTTATTGTTGCAACAACACAATACAATTTCGTGACGTGATTTCACTAGATAAAATCATTCACAAACATATTTCTGCATCTTTTTTATTACCAAAAACAACATCCGCTTACATGTATATAAGTTTATCTTTTAAAAGTTTGCATTTTAATTTCTCATTCCCATTGGCAGCTGCTGGAAACGGCAGTGGGAGCGACATAACTTTCTTAAATTTATTTTATTGCCTTAAATCATGACAAAACGCTTTCTTAGATGAACATCCAAAGTTAATGACCTTGAATTCAATAGTTGAGTGGTCAGTATTTACTGGTGTTGCTAATAATGTTTATTGAGATTACCAAATAATAATAATGAGGTTTATTAATAATAATGTTTTTTGAGGTTTCATAGATGTTTGCTAACTTACCATTTCTGAATTTTGTTGCGGCAAAAATCTCTTTCAGAATATTCAAAAAATTTTTTTATTTTGTCATTATTTCTTTTATATACACATATTTTATTAATGCTGTTAAATTCATTCATATATATTTTATAAATGGATAAATTCCTTCAGGCGTTGTATTTTTGTCCGGTGGTCAGTCAGAAGAGGAGGCAACTTTAAATTTAAATGCCATTAACAAAGCACATGGTAAAAAACCTTGGGCTTTGTCTTTTAGCTATGGAAGGGCTCTCCAGGCATCAGTTCTTAAAGCCTGGCAAGGAAAACAAGAAAATGTGAATGTTGCTCAAAAGGAATTTTTAGCAAGAGCAAAGGTTAGTTAATTTTAGTAAAAAATGAAAGATTTATTCTATTCAAACGGACTTGTCTCCTCGTACTAATTTTAACTTGACGATGATTATTTATGGTTTTAAGTCATCTTGTTATAACAATCCCCATGAAATTGTTTTTAACCTCACCAGGGGTACGTTGTTTTTATGATTTTCCCTTGTGGCGTGATGGTTCAATAACCACAGTACCCGATCCTGCATTGCACTGACCTGGTTCGAATACTGCGAATTGTTTTTTTGCACCTCTGCATGGATGTGCTTGTAAGTTCCGTAGAAGATTACGAAAGTGGCAGTACATAAATTACGATGTCTGATTGGAACAATTAAGGAATTAAGAATTAATGATTGAAAGAATAAATGAGTATTTACTCATTATTGTATGAACATCACTAGGTAAATGGATTGGCCAGTCAAGGCAAATATGAAGGAGGAGTCTGTGGAGTTGCTGGTGATCAATCATTGTTTGTGGCGAAGCACGCTTATTAAATGAATCATTTTAAAATTAGTTAAGTTTGAAATTTAATAGAACAAATTTTGTGTTAACATTTGGACTGTCTTGATCATTTTAGTTGCTTGTCAATTTAAGCATTCCAATTTAAGGGATATTGATACGTTTGCATGAAAATGCGTAATAAATGTTGGTATTGTTATAACCGCGTGAATGATAGAATAGCGCTATATTTGTTTTTTTAATTATCATTTATCTATACTATATTTGTGATCTTTGGGAAGGCTGTAAATTTGTGTGTATGCTAACTCAGCTAAAAATACGACGTGCATAGCCTGGCTAAGGCAGTTGATGTAAAAGTGAGGTTCGATACGAAGTCGTTAATGTGGTTTATGTAGTTATTTGGACTAGTGTGTTGTTTCTACTGCTATTTAAATAAACATTCAACAAAGTCTGCGTTTGAAGTAGTTGTGTTCATCTATCGGAAATCTTGGACCTAGAGATAAACGAACTCTTGACTATCGTTGGAAGCAACAACACGGTGTTGGAGATATAGAGATTATTGAAGCAATAACATCGGTGTTGGTAGTTACGAGGTCAAGGAGATGCAACAAAATATTACATTGGTTAACAATGGTTTTTTTCGATATAAAAAAAACATTCAGTTATCAATAATAGCTTTTTATAGTAATTTTTCTCAGTTACAACAAAAGGAACGCCTGGTTATAATTTCATTAATCTCTTTAAATCTGCAATTTTCAACCTTAGTAATCTCATTTTAAATATTCTTGCGCTAGAGTTTTGCTTTAGCTTACTCTGGAATTCTTTGCTGATTTCTTTCAGCCCAACCGCTTGCGAAATTTAAGACGAACCTCACTTCTACGTCAATTTATTGGAATGCCGCTCTAGTGACATTTTGATGAATCATTTAATCAATCAATAAATGGGCTTTTGAAGCTGATGTCGTCCACTTTTCGGTTTCCAAAATCTTTATATTTTATTAGGTTCAATTTTTACACACCGGTCCACACGTCCTTTTTTCGATGAGCCTTTTGACTTCTCCGGTTTCTCTTTCTCAATAGAACAGTTTTAATGTGCTTATCATTACGTACAAAAAGCTATAGTTTTCTTAGACTTTTTTTACACTTTTTTGTTTTCATTCCAAACTGGTTTCTTACGATTTTATTTCTCACTTTCCGTTTCCAAATGCTGTTTCTAAATTATTTGCGACAATTTCCTGTAGCATTCACATCTTTAAATCTGCTTTTTTCTCATATCTTTATTAGAACCTAACTTTACGTAAAATTTTACACAAAATTTTGATTCAGTCGCTAAAATTGACTAATTTATAAAAAAAATGCACATTCTTGCTTCTTAAACAATACGCACACAAGTTGTTTTAAACGGCTTTGGTAATAAAATTATTAACTTGAAAAACTTCTTCGTGACTGTTCTATTAATTTGCTGAAATTATATTGCTAACTGAATCGGAGCTCAACTATTCTCGAAAATTTCAATAAAGATATGATTGGATGATACCTGTATCCTAGGGAAATTTCTCAAATAATTGTTTTCAGAGACAATTGTTTTCAAAGTTTTTTGAATACTTTTCCAATTCTAATGATGTTGATAGCATTATTAAGATATGATGTCATCGAATTCTTAACGTTTTAATCAGAATGAACTAATGTCCATATATTTAATTAACGATCTTAACTTATCAAAAGCTTTTCAATTACTAGCATGTAACATGAGCGTTAAAAGTGCGTTATATTCACAGTTACTTAACATTTTTCATTCTATTTATTAACAAAAACAAATTAAAAGATTTCTTTGAAGTATCAAATCTATTAAGATCCACGTTGGTGAAAATTTTTATAATTGTATACAAATTTTTGTCAGCTTTTAAAAAATTTAATTGACATAATATTTTCTTTAGATTTTATTAAAAGTAGATAAATCACTAAGTCACTGTCAAAAATTATTTACAATACATTTATTTTTCTTGATTTCACTGTCGCAAACTGGTCAAAATTATGTCATCGAAATTTGTTGTTTTCAATGTTTCCATTTCAACGCTAAGAAGAGCAAGATCACCGAGTACATTTTGTCCCACTGATGCATTAGAAATAGACATAGATGAATTAGAAGAAAGAAAATTTAAAGAAAAAACAGATTCGATAAGGAGGTGATCAGAATAAGAAACAGAGCTAGCAGAGATATTTATAGGTATAGAAAAAGATGAAGCTATAATTAAATCAATAGTGTTGCCAGAAGTATGAGTAGGAAAAGAACAATATTGTGTTAAGTTAAAAAGAGACAAAATATAATTAAATCTACGAGTGTAAGAACAAGATGAGTTATTGAAGTGCCAGTTGAAGTTACCAGAGATATAGAAAGGAATAGAAAAAGAGTAGGGAAATTCAGCGAGTGAGTAAAATTCATCTAAAAATATAGAAAGAGAAGAAGGAGGAGGTCGATAGATTATAGCAATATAAAAAGATAGAGAAGAAGATTTAAGAGATACAAAAAGATATTCAAAAGAAGAAAAATTAAAGAAAGTATTAATGGAAGCAGTAAATAGAGATTTATAGAATAGACAGACACTCCCATAAGAAGAATGAGAAGATGAGAGAAGATCTTTTGGAGGTCTAGAGAGTTCAAGAAAGCTGTAACCATCAGGAGTAGCAAGAATATAGAGGGAGAGTGTGGCGTGATGGTCTTATGGTTAAGGTCGCCTGGTGCTGTTTCGCAGTCACCGGGTTCGAATATGACAAAAAGATCCCCGCCTATCACGTGCTTCGTGTGTGATGCGTCGTTTAGCACGTATTCATTTACGATGTTTGTGTGATTTGTTGAATCCTCTAAACTTTGGGATAGTGTAATTGACCTTTATTTTAAAGTCCTCGTGCCAGGTTTCAGTAAGACTAAAAAAAATCAGGCAGGAGGAAGAGATTATTTGCTGAATATAGAGCGATTATTTTTATTAATTGATCTTATGTTAATATTAAATAGTGAAAATGTAGAGGTAGGTTGGATATTGGTAATTTTAAATCTAGTTATATTATTTAAATTAATAGAATTATTATTCATGTCATTAGTATTAATTACATTAGAGTAGGATTTATTAGATTTATTATACTTCATTTATTTAATTATATATACCTAATATTTATTATAATTATTGTTACTGACTATATTTATTTTTTGTTAGTCGTATTGGAGTTAGATTTATTATTTTATTTATTAGCCCTAAGATTAAAGCATTGAATTATATAATTCCATGGATTAAAGTAAAAAATTCTCTACTACTTCTTCATTACTAACGAAATTGAGAGCGGATCTCAAAATCTGTTTGCAAAATTTAATGAAAAACGCCTCTGGACATTGCTAAAACGTTGCTTTAAATATAAATTGTTTTTATTTGCTTGATTGATTGGCTGATAAAAGTACAAAAAGTTTTTTGGCTTTCCAAACCAGACTTTTGTTACTTACCTGTCTTAAGTGAGTCGATCGAGTATTCACTAACGTTTGATTGTTTGAAGAACATTTTGGTCTCATGAGGAAAAAAAAAATTTACTTGAAGTAAGGCCCCTAAAAATGAATAACAATAATGAAAAATCTTAACGCGCTTTTTGGAAACATGATGATATTGGTGGAAATAAAACTTAAATCAGAAGACACACTTAATGGATTGGCTTTAAAATATGGATGCTCTGTTAGTTAGAATTTTTTTTGTTAATGTTATTAATTTATTATTAAATTAAAGCATTAATTGATTAATGTTAGAGTAAATTCAATCAATTTCGGCTCAGGTTTCACTTGCTATATAAGCCATAATTTTATTGCTTACGTTAGTTAAGTCAAGTGTAAAGTAAACTTAACAGTTACAGGTTATGCTGTTATGCCATAGTTATGTAAACAAACTGTAGTAAAGTAAGCTTAACAGTTACAAGTTATGCCATAGTTATGTTATAACTTATAAGTTATGCCATAAACATAAACAAGCCATAACTGTTATGGCTATATGACAAGACCAAAGATGAGCTTTATCTTTATTATCTATTTTATTTATGTAAATGTGGAAGCCCTTCCAATGATATGATTAAAAGTTAATTCGATAATTAAAGGTCAAAGGTCAAATGTTATTTTATTGACTTATTCCTTATGTAATCTTTTTATTAATGTAGTTGTTTAAATTAGAGTTAGTGTTTAAAATAGGTACATTCACGCATACATAGAATAACTTTACTATAGTATGCTGGCCCTTGAATTCACCTGCACATATTTTAAGTGTACATTATTCTTTAGTTAGTGTCTGGTGTCATTTTTAGGTTTCCATGAACAATTAATTATTCATCAAATTGTATAATTTTTATAGTTGATTAATAATTTTCAGTTTCATTTATTTCTTACAGAATTTATTTATTTTTAATATTTTTTAATTATTTCATTTCATGGATTTGCTTAATATTTCAGCATATTTAGTTTTTTTGTCTAGTGTCATAAAAATCTTTTTGATCAGAAGCCATTATCATTGACAGACCTCCCCTTGCAATCATTGAATTGCAAATAGAAATTGTTATTATTTTTATATATCATATTTTTTCATACAACAGCGTGTATCTTTATAATTATTATAGGTAGTGTGTAGTGCTATAGTTTAATTCCTTTGTCCATTATAATTTGTTTTAAATTACTTTTATGTGTAGGAGGAGCTTGTGTCTCTTCTAACAATAAACTGAAAACAAAATAATGCTGGAAAAACCCAGTACTGATCTTTGGTTTTGTTGCTTTCTATTTACTGGATTGTGTTGAGTTGTTTATTATCCTAAGTTTTTTTTCAGTTTGTCATGTTTGTTCATTTTCGTTGCTTAAATCATAAATCATTCAACGAATTTTGAAATTTAATTTATTTTTAAGTTAAGATGCATTGGTATTTTATATTTGATGTGTTAACAGCTATTTTGAGATTTAAGAACAGGCAGTTTTTAAAAACTCATTTCTAATTATAATGTTAAAAAACCATTTTTATTAACAATTTTTACAATCTTGTAACAGGTTACCGAAATAAAAAGAGTTAACAAATTGATTCGAGATCAAGATTTGTTTGCACGAGCTTTTGTCAAAATTCCTGTCATCAAACACAGCAGTGTTCATGAACTCATACTTCAAGAAATTTCAAAAGATCTTCCACAAAGTATGTTATGCTGCATATATTATCCGTTAGGTTTCAATCATCATTTTTATAAGTTTGAAAAATAATTATAATATATAACGGTATTTAATGGTGGTAGGGGCTATGTAATGTTTCAGAAATTAATTTCACTAGTTTTTGACAATTCAAGTATTCAATATAGCTTTTCCAGTAGTTTGTTTTATAAGTCTCTCATACACTGTACTGAAATTTTAGATGTGGCAATTCAATTTTTATTCACTTTAATTTAAAGCTTCTAACGACGTGTAAACTTGCGATTTTCTCTGTAGCATTTTGGTTATATTCAATTCTTTTTATTATATTTCATCTTTCCTCTTTTTCATTCATAAAGACAATTATTTTATATTACAGTCGATGAGGATGATGATAAAAGCGAATATGGATCTATAGATGATATGTCCAATCAACTTGACAATAATTTGGATGAAAACATTTCGACTACAAAGGAAAATTTGAAGTTCTTGTTAAATAGTAATTCTTGTTCATCTTATGAAGAACCAACAAAATTTGACAAAGCCAATGAGTATCTTGAATCATTTGATAAAAAAATTAATGCTTTTAAAGCAAATTATACTGTAAACCAGTTGGCAGATGCCGCTGGCATTCTAGGTCAGTTACTTAGTGAAAGAAAGACTGAACCTGAAATTTTACTTGACAATGATTCAATAAAATTTTCTTCCAGTGATAGCGCCATATTAAAACCTTTGTTGAATGATTTTGCACCCGGTCAACAACTGTTTCAAAATTGTAGCAAAACTGTTGTTAGAAATAATCACAAAAACTATTTTTTCAAGTTGTTATTGTTAATTATTTTAATCATTATTGTTGTACCAATATTTGTCACACTTATTTTTATATTTGTAAAATAAAAATTCCTATGTAAAGAACGACGCCTCTTCAAACAAACTCATGTAAAAATCTGCACAAAGAGTTACTTTTATAATTTGCATGTGCATAAATCATATACAATTTTGTCTCATTTAATTTTTATTTAATTTTGTTATTGTATTTAAACTTATAGTCACCCCAATATTTCATTTCCAAATTTTTTTAATAGTTATTATAGGGCCGCCAATTTCTAAAATATCCAAGCAGACTTTCTGGACTTTCTGCGAATAACTCTGTGATAAGGCGTAATCACGTAATATATGAATTTAATTGCCCCTTTGACGGCTGTGCACGTCAACATGACTCATATATCGGGATTACTACTACCTCATTGACTAGAAGGCTTACGATGCATAAACAGAGTGGTGCTATCAAATCTCATTTGGACTCAACACACTCAATCACTATTAGCCGTGAAATCCTCGACAGTAACACCAAGGTAATATACCAGAACAGCAACTACACGCATCTTACAACTGCAGAAGCAGTCCTAATTGACATCAATAAACCAAAAATAAATATACAACAAAAAAATGACAACCTCACTTCCAACCCGGCTCTTAACCAACGACGAAATCAAAGAAGTAATAAAAACTAGCATTGCAAATAGTAACAAAGAAGAATATGATGCTATCGATGAAGAAAAGGAGACCAAAGAAGATGACCGGCCAATAAAGAAACCTGACACCTAATTTCCATCTAAGTTTACTTTGACAAAATCAATCTCCATCTAAGTTCATTGTGACAAAGTCAATATTTCCCTATATAAACAACAGAAGTTTGTAGTTCGAAAAATCGAACTACAAACATATTAACGCCAAACATTTGGTAGAATTTATAGAATATTGTAAATATATATATATATATATATATATATATATATATATATATATATATATATATTAGATTATACAAAATCCAATAAATATATATTTATATAGCAGTATATAAAAACTGTGATAAAAATTAAAACAAAAATGTTAATAAATAAATAAAATAAAAGCCTCTGTGTCACTTCTTGTACGTAAAGTAGAATCTTTAGAGAATAAAAATATTTTACAAACCTGTTCAAATAGACTAAGTGAATATAGTGTAGAAAATTGGGACCCATAAATTATAATAAATTTGAAACAAATTATCAGGGTTAACGCCACTCATAAAAAGAAGAGTCGCGATCGTTACCGCTACTGCGGCTCTATCACTTTCACTACTAACTGACAAGTAATTTTTTGGTACTATCATATAAGTTTTCAGAACTATTTTTCACTTATTCCATTTTGATTGAAATTTTCTACTTTATTGTTAATGCATATATACATACATATATATATATATATATATATATATATATATATATATATATATATATATATCACTTATTTAAAATTGTAACATATAATGTTATATATATATATATATGACATATATATATTTTGATCGAATTTACTGGGTTGTTTCTTTTTCAAGACTTTCAAATTTTCTAATTAGTTTCTTTTTTTCCTAACCAAAAAATTGGAAAACTTGAAAAAGAAAAGAAACAAACAACCTGGCAAATTTGATCGAGTTCAACAAAATATGTATTCTAGAAAACAAACTGCCTAAAGCTTAAATACACACGCACACATATTATTATTGTTTTTTGGACTTTTAAATTATTAACACATATTAGATATAAGCACATGGATTTTAATCTACTCTCATTATTTAAATGTTATGTTATATAATTAAATTTAAATCGAATGCCTTGATGTCGATATCTATAAAACTGGTCATACACATTACCGTGTTTCCTCATATATAAGACATCCCTCAAATATAAGACCTAGCACGTTTTTTGTCTATTTTTCTAATATAAGCCCTTCCTCGAATATAAGCCCTCCCTCGATTATAATTTCTAGTACGAATCAGCTGACAACAACAAAAACTTCTGTCAAAACCACACCGGAAACGTCAACTGCTGCAAGATTTTTCGTTTTTCGAGGATTTTTCGTTTTTCGAACTGTTTTTCCTCCTTCAAGCATATCCTGAGGTTACAAAGCTGTCAAAGTAAGGGTTGTTTTTTCTATTTAAATAAACTATTTTGTAACATTTTGCCCATATTTAAGATGAGTGGCAAGAGGAAAAGTTACTCTGTCGAATACAAAAAAGGAATTGTGGAAGAATGCAGAGATCATAATATTACTGCATTTTGCAAAGAGAAGAAGTTGGACGTACGAATGGTTAGGAAATGGCGAGCACAGTATGATGATCTCAATCAAAAGGTTGAAGATGGGCAGGCAAAAAAAAGAAAATGTGGCTCTGGAAATCGTCCATTCTTTCCAGAGTTAGAAGACATCATCTTTGACTGGATTGCTGAGAAGAGAGAAAACCGTATGGTTGTGCGCAGAGCTGAGATTCAAGCTTTTGCTCTCGAGATGGCTCCTACACTTGACATCCCTCCTGAGGAGTTCAAAGCTTCAAAATGTTGGCTGG